GATGCTTTCAAAAGAAATTGAAAGTAAGATTTTAGTTTGATTTATAGTGTGGAAATTTCTAATGTAAATATTGTTTGACATAGGGACTTTTATTTATTTACGTTTATTTACGTGCATCGTAAATAACGAAGCTCTGCTTCATTTCAAACAAGTTATAGCCTACATGTAGCCGTACCCCAAGGTGAAACGGAAGCGAGGGAACGTCTAACGGCCTGTTTACATGGAGGTGGGGGACCTCAGGTAGGTGAGGTAACCGGCCTGTCCATAGAATTTCTTATTTTATCTTGATCACGTTTACATGATAGGTGGGGTAACCCGCCAAGGCCGGTAGGTAACCCGCCCAGCCGGGATCACGTTTATAGCAAAAAGCTCAAAAGCGAATCATGTATGTTTAAAAACTTTGTACATTTCCTAGCCGTCTTATGGCAGAAATCACCAGAAACCGCAACGGATACACAAGGAGTGTAAAATGTTCACATTTCGGAATATTTAGCATTGTAAATCGACCATATTTCGTTTTCCAAACTATTCCGTATAACGTATTAATTCAACGGTTCCTCGCGTAACCTATCACTGCGTAACACAACGCATGAGGCTTTCATGAATAAATACGTATGTGTCTGAGAATTAATCTTTCGTCTTTCTCGAGATGTGGGCTTGGGACACCTCTGCTCAAACTCCTTAATTGCAAGCGTAATAACAACCTCAATAAACCCCACCTCAGCATCCCGGGGTTGTAAGATGTAATGTAAACGCGTTTTATTTTTCGACCACGGCTAGGCGGGTTACCTTACCTACCTGGGGTCCCCCACCTCCATGAAAACAGACCCTTAGCAAGCTTGTCACTAATCGTGTTCCCATCCCAAGGTATGAATTATTGTGTCGTTGAGGGAAACCAAAACTGTCTATATTTTACATGTTTCGTCTTCATGGAATGTAGCTACAATGTTTGCTGATCTCTAATTTGCAGATATTTTAAAGTTTTGTTCCTTCATATACACTGTACACTTTGACACTTAATTTACATGGCATCTTTTCAGAGGGATAATGCCTGTGATTCGTCAGAGTGAAGAGCTGCAAATAACCAACTTCTTAAACACACCAAATTGGATCAGACAGGTTTGGAGATGGCAAAATGTCAACCTGCTTTGGCTCAGTGTGCCGTGAATATGTATCAGTGCGAGCTCTATGGATATGCTCAGTACATTCAGCAATATAAAATGCAGCCTGCCAATGTCACCTCTATATGGGTTGATGTTATAATTAAATACTCTATATTTGATTGGCTAAAAGGGTTGTTGTGGAAAATAGCTCTAGCATTTGAATCATTATGTTTCTGCTAGACGTGGGAGTTGGACTCAACACCTATTGACAGAGTTATTGTTGAACAAAATTTGTTATGAATGAAAAGACTCTAAGTATCACAATTTAAAATATATCTGTAGTGGGTAGTAGGTGGTAGGTGGCAAACTGGCAGTGCCTACTCTACTGGGGAAGAGGTTGAACAAATAAATTCGTACATGTCTCAATGTAACAACAAAACTAAATACATGCTTCCTGAGGGTAAAGATTCTGCTTTTGCTGCTTTAATATCTCACAAATTACCTTTTTTTCTTTATGATTGCAGGGAACTGTAGAACTATATGTTAGCTCATCAACTCCTCTAGGTCACAATGAACTGCTTATAGAACATGCACTTGCATGGAACAGGAAGAAAATAATAGCTTTGGTCCATGCTCTGTGCAAGAGACATTAAAGGGTAATAAGTTATTAACATTTGTATTAAAACCACCTAGTATAGGTGGTTAGTTTAAGTTTAATCTCAATAGAGCTATTTTATGAGGTGCAAAAATGCCTGACACTGATAATAAAGCACATGTATTTTTTAAGTGAATTTTTCACCCTTTATTGCTTTCTCGTTAATTTTTCCTGTATTGATTACTTGTCATTTCACTTTTTTTCAATAAGCCCAACAGATGTTGTTAGGAACTGAGAGGGATTTTTTGGGAAAAATTGCTGTCAAATTAAAGGCATATGAATTCATGACTTCCCCTAGGCCACACATCCTTGGGAGCAGGATTTCTCTATTCCATTAATAGAAATCATGTTGACTGTTGACAGAGGTAGATTTAAATCTACATCTTGTGTCTGGTCTACCCTCTGTATCAAGCCGCAAATCAAAAGCAAAGTGAAAGAAATCAACCCAGATTTGAAGTTTTAGGGAATAGGTTGATTCAGACTATAATAGAAATTTCTCCATCATCCTTCATCTAAACAGTCACTCATGAAAAAGGAGCTCAACTTCTAAATACACCAGATTTTAAATTCAAAATCTGCGTAAGAGGATAATTTCATTTTTAAAAAGTAAGGGGCTTATAGGATAAATTTATTTTAGGATTTTTATGATATATATATATATATATATATATATATTAGCCTCCTTCTCTTTTAGGCTTCCCTCTGTTTGAAAGTACTCTCTTGAAAAAGACTTCTCTTCCCTGTGAAGCACTCCCCAAACCATATAGATATAAGAAGATCCACAGCAATTTGTTGTACTTTTTAAGCACTTGTCAGCGGTTTAACTGGAATCGAAGGATTAAAAGAGTGAAAAAGCAAATAAGTGAAGGGGGATAGAAGACTTTAGCAAAGGAGTGACATCATCACAAAAATGTCATAGCCATTTTCCAAGTGAAAAGGACTTTAACAGCTTTCTCGAGTCTTTTGAAGTACATATTCTTAAAACATGAGTACGCATTCTGAAACGTGCATGGCTTTCATGTGGGGGTCCCATGCACTGCAACTCAGAAAAAGAATCTGGCATAATCTCTTCATAGTATGAAATAAATTCAAATATCAATTTTATATCATATATTTGTGAATCTAAATCAATATTGATCTAAGGTTTTGCCTACTTGGATGAGGCAAAATTCGTTTGCGATCAGTGTTTTGTTTGAAAAATGATGTTACTCCCAGTCAAAACACCCTTCATATGAGCTGCTACTGGTCAGCAATAATTTTTTCAGTACCTTAAGAAATGCTTATTAAATACTCGTTGTGTTGGTAGATTTGTTGCAGTGGAATAATGTCCCCAGCCGCTTTGCTTTGTCCCTCCTGTTCCACCCACAAACATATAGATGCGCCGCATGTTTTTTGGAATATTTCTGCTGAAGAAAGAAAGCTCATATGCTAGTGTAAATGGCTAACTCTCTTAATCGACATTAGGAAGTTGAACTCGAGTTTCAGTGGATGATACATTAACCTTAAGCTTATTAAATTAGGCTTAATTCAGAACAGATTTAGGTAAACTTTTTCTAGACTGTACTTTCCCTTTAAATTATTTTAACTTTATTGCCTATTTATTTATGTCAAAAAAAAAAAATGATGTTCACCTAATCGGAAAAAAAAGCTCTTGCTCTTGGAAAAAGCGGCATTATGCGAACGCTAGCTATATAGCTAACATTTTCTAAAAGGACAATCCAAAATTTCCCGTTGCTTTCCAGTCACTTTTCCTTCCCAACTAACACCCGGAAACGATTGTTTTCTGTTCTTAACGGCGTGATTAAAAGCCGGCCACATATTTGTTCAATAAACTTTGAATTATTTTCCCGAAATAAGAAGGTTTTCCGCAGGGAAAACACTACATAAAATTGCGGCTACTTACGTTTTAGTTATGGTTACTGACTAATGTTCAGAGAAAACTTACTATTGGGCGATGGCAATGATAATGTAGCTGGCTATAACAACAGAACTAGCGGGATGAAACCGGCTTTTGTAAGTTTTGTGTTATTGTTAATGTTTTACAAACTGAATCACGAGGTTCATAAAAATGGCTCCAGGGAGACTTGCCATATCGAAAACAAAACGCTTCTGTCAGTTCTGTTCCGTAAACACCCTACAAAATTTTCGATTCAAAAGCAGCGAACTATCTAGAATTATCAGAAGAGGAGCTGATTTCTCTTAATCATTAATCAGGATTATCTATTTCGGTTCAATTTCACTGCGCGCAATATTGCTCGCATCACTTGAACGCATTGGTCTATGAAGTAGCCCAAAGAAAAAGAAATGGCAAGGCAATTAGGTCTATTAAGTTTTCCGAGCAACAAAAGCTCTGAGAAAGTAGAAATGAAGATAAGTGGTCAAGTCATGCAGCGATAAAACTTCCAGGGTAGAGTGTAGATTAGATATCTACATAATACGTAGGGCCATAGGAGTTGTATTTGGCCACATATCCAGGATAATTCACCGTACAACTGCAGAAGGACTCGATCCTTGAATATTTGATATTATAAAGATTTATTCAAGCCTAAAAGCGAAGCTCGTGTTCGTTTATTTTTCAGTCCTTCATTATAATAAAAACTGTAATAAAAATCTTCAGCACTGGCTGTAGAAGGGGATTTAGGGAGCAGTCCGGGGGTGGGAAGGGGGAGGAGAATTGACGAGGTCTGGAACAATCACCTTACGGCCTTTTGTTAAAGATCCTTTAAAAAAATCTCGAAGTTAAAACAAGTATCGATATGTCAACGCTATGAGTCTTGTGCTAGGAGGCGAGCTCCTTCACCTATCATGCACGCATCTTTGCTCTCAGACATATGCACTTGTGCAGATTCAGTTGCCTCGCCTTGTTCCGATTGTTTTCCTTCTATCAGTGATTAGTGTTATGAATGATCTGATGTTTTTTGTTCCTTTGGTTGTAGCATCTATTGTACAACGGAACTTAACTGGTATGTAATGTTTTATTACGCGTGCAAAATTTCATTTTGAAAACATACTGATAATGACAATTACGAATTTATATAGCTATATTACTATAGAAGTAATGCCTTGAGTTGTTTTCTCTTATTATTATTATTATTATTATTGTTATTATTATGATTATAATTATTATGATGATGATAATGATGATGATGATGATTATTATTATTATCATTATTGTTGTTGTTATTTGATGGCGAATCTGCGACGAGTTCCAAGCACTAGTAACAGCAAGTTCCGCATCATCAGGGGCAGCATGCACGAACAAAGAAGAATGTTTAGACGCCAAAATAGCACAATTTACAGTCCATTTCGAAGTGGGTTTCTGAAACCACAATTAAATTGACCCAGTGTCAACAGGAATTCTTTCCCTTTGTGGCTTTGCTGGGATTAGTACTATTATTGCATTGTTTACTTCAGCTTTTTAATCCTAAATTAGCGCAAGCCGTCTCACGAACAATCCACTCAAACATTAACATACTCAGGACTAGGTATTTCATTCACATATTCAGGATTAGGTATTTGATTGACATAATCAATGTCGCTGTCTTCCCACGTAGATGTGTAAGTTCGGGAACCCTCGCCTTCTGGGGCCTGCAAAATAACCAGTTTTATTTGTTAGAAAACTGATGGTTTTATTGACTTGACAGGCAAGGTTTATCGAGCTGTGCTCTCGATTCCTTTGTAACTTGCTGTTTGCTTGACTAAACCCTCCACTGTCAATAAACAAAATTGAACAAAACCAGAAACATAGCCTAGCAATAATTAGGTCGTGTCAAGTATAAATATGGGACATTATTTTCTCCAGATCGTGCAAAATATGTATGTATTTAAATAACATTTCTATTCATGTCTTTGTGACATATTGTGCTTACCACTAAGGTCATCAATTAATTTACTACATCTTGTGAAAATATAGTTTAACTAAATATAGATTTTCTGGCATAAATTCGGCTAAAAGTTTAGAATAGTACATAGTTTTTTAAACGTTGTGCATGTTTCCAAATGACACACCTCTAACTGGCAATGTGATGTTTCATCAGAGAAATTGCGATGTTTAAACATACATATATATAAAGGAATAGATAGATATATAAATAGACATAGCAGAGCGGTTTGAAAACAATTTTACGTATCGTAATTTTTTCTTTGCATTTTTTTGTAATTTAATGTTGAATCATCATATGGGGATCATATTAGGTGATTTGAATTCATTTTATGCGTAATTACCATCATTGACTCTGGACTCAGCTCGTTACGCACGTCCTCCCATGGGATAAACCGTTTACGTTGGAACCTAAATAAATAAATAAAAAATAGAAGAAGCAAACGTAGGTTAGCTGTTGCCTAATTTGAGAAATGATTTCAACCGGAATTTTAAGCTTACATAGGTTTTTCAACCGCAGGGAGGAAAAACTGCGGACTCGATTGCCACTCATGAAATAAACTCCTCTCAAAATCTAAGTGCTATCAACACTTGGTTTACTTCATCTTTATGATCCTGAATTAACGCTAAATGTCTAACAAACAATCCACCTTAGTTTTTGACAAGTTTTCTGATGGTGAAGTATTAACATACCCATGAGCCGGTAATAAATTCTCATATTCAATGTTTTCGGCTTTTCTTGTAGATTCATTAAGCGACGCGTACGTTCGTGAACCGTTCCCTTCAGGTGTCTGCGAAACAGACAGTTTTATTGGTTAAGAAATATTAATTCAGTTGTTTATTTTTTTTTTCAAAAAATCAAAATTGGATCATATCGGATAATTTTCGTCTCATTTTATGTACAGTTACCATCATTGACTGAGGACACAGTGCAGTATATACACCCTCCCGTTGGACAGACGGTTGACTTTGGAGCCTGTCATTCTTGGTTTCATTTCTTGCGGAAAAACTAGGCTGGGCACAATCATTCAAAGTAATCAACGGGAAACCGTCTTGAAAGTCGCGTTGATTCCTGTGTAGTGAGAGGTTACAAATAAACACACAAAAAGAGAACAAGAAACAAAGTAAGCTAGCTATAGATGGCGTCTGACAATGGAGATACCCTGATTGCTAGCTGTAAGACAACAAAACAAAAGTTAAAAAAATCCACAAATTTTCTTTTCCGTAAAATATATGGGAATCATATCAGCGAAAACGCAAAGAGACGTTTTGTTTCCGTTATTATCAAATGCCGTGATTAATGCAGAGTTGATATTTCCTCATTCTGTTACATGCTCGTAGGTGAGGGAGGTAGTCTTGCCCATCAACAACGGTGATGGATGCTGTTTATATATCTCTTTGAATATCACTTTTGTTGGAAGATACTCGGTCTAAATTTGTTTTCACAAGTGCCTCTTGTTGTTAAATGATGTTTGGGTAACCAACTTCAAAGAAATCAGGGTTTTCGTGCTCCATACAATTTGAAAAAAAATAGACCACGTAAAAACTCTTGAACGAGCAGTTGTATTATCTTCTACCTGGCGATAGCCCCAATACCTTGTGAAGATTATGAGACGAGATAACGCCTCTAAGCAATGAACTTTGAACCTAGATTCGACTCAAATTTTACGGTTTTCTTTTTTCAAGCAAACTTCAGTATAACATGCACACTCGTTTGCTTACACGTGGAGCATACGGGGTTTGTGTGCTGAAGGATTCGGATCTGTAGGTCTGGGTTCGAGCTTGCAGAGATGCTTTAGACTGCTTGTATCCATCCAGGAGTATAGATTGGTACGATCACTTTTAAAAGGGAAACCTGAGGGGGGAGGGTAACCTTTCTATAGAATTGCATTTTTTCTAGGGAAGGAGGAAATAGCAATAATCATAACAACAAGAGGATATGACTTTCAAAGCTGGCTGGAATGCTAGTTTTACCTGAAACTATTCAATAAGTACCAGTTGGAAAGCATTTCAGAAAAAAAAAGAAATAGACACTTACGATGATTCTTTCGACACTGTGCTTTCTGCATCTAAAAAGATGTGCATTTAGGAAACATAACCATGATTATCACTGCATGTAGAGCAGACAAGTTCGTTTCCCGCCACACTATAACAGTGGCATGAACAAAGCGGAATATTTCTGTTATCGTAGAGATTTGTGTCTAAACAATGTTAATGATCACCCGTAAACCTGTAGTTTCAATATTTAGCGAAAATCTTATCACATGTTCAGTGCTGCTTCTTCATACGACAACGCTTAAAAGTACGACATCGGCAAAGGAAGTAAAATTTGAGAAGTCAAAGGCAATTAGTTGTGGTTAATGAATTTTAGGAAGAGGCTGAAGATCATGATTTCCATCCCCAAGGTATACAGATACGTCAAATTTGAGCTGTAGTGATACCTACCATTTATGGAAACAAAACAGCTTCTCATGTATAAGCCAAGGATCCAATCGGCAATTAATATGATTTGAAAACCGAGAAAATATATTTTTTTTTTTCTGAAAAAATCCCTGTTTTGATTCCGCTATATGGTGTGATTTATCTTCAGTTTTCTTTTCGCAGACCCAATGAATTTCGCTGGTTGAAATTAAAGAAGGCCAGTAAATGGCTTCCATGAAGTAGTGATATCTAAATAATCGTATCATTGCAACAAATGTCAGGTAAGAAAAAAGTAAAACAAATCGAACGTATTTACCTTTTCGTTGGCGATTCCTTCGCTTTAGTAACATAAATGCAACGAGAATGATCAACACAACGAAGAACACTGCTGCCGAGGAAGCAGCAATTATCATTACTTTATCAGAACTACTGTAACAGTTGTCATCTGTGATTACCGTGGTTGGTATGAACGCAGTTGTTGAAGATCCTGGATTAAATGCATTTGTATTTTCAAATTTCTAATGACGTTAGTCGTGATATATCAAGAGTTTGTAATACCAATCATGAATAGTTCCCCTGAATGATCTGGCAAAATTCTTTACCGACTGTCCAACCTTCACGCGTACAAAAGAACGAAAAGAAGGAAAACCAATATCAAATGCAAAGAGGTCCCTTAAACTCTGCCACACACACAAAAACAAATCAACATCAACAACGAGCAAAGAAGCATACAGGAAGAACAACCAAATGAAACAAAACCAAAAACATGAAAAGACAAGTCGAAGTAAAACAGGAACGGATAAAAACAAAAACACAAAAAACAAACAACAATAAATCAAAACAAAAACAAACACAAACAAACAAACAAAATTAGGCTAATCTTAGGAAGTTGCTCTTTTATATATCCTCAATCAATCAAAATTGTCAATCAATCAGCGATCTTACCTGATACAGCAGCGATATCCCGTTCGGTTGACGTCTTCCCTTTTGTTGCAACAATTTTTGTTACAGTTGTGGTTCCAGGAGGATTTGTACTTCTTGGAACAGGATGGAGGAAACAGACTCCTTGACAATTGTCTGTTAAAAAAAAACATGACAATTGACACTGTTACTAGGTAGACATTTGTGGCGTGGCATTTCGAATTGACAGAGATGTATTATTTCTCGAGCTTGCCCATAGCCAGCCACGAATCAGTACATTTTCTTAGGCATTCCCAATAATTTATCTCTTAACTTTTATCAAAGTGGCTGGTATTACGGGAACTGTTCCCCTGAAGATGACGAGCCTTCGTATGAGGTGGTCCCATTAGGCAAAGAGGGAAAGATGGGAAAAAGGAGAGATAAGGGGTGGGAAAGGAAGCAGGCAGCTTATAGTTAATTCTGATTCATGCATAATAATAAAGCTTGATGAAGCTAAAATAATTTCTTTTATCTGGTCTTAATCAATACCTGATTCTTTCTCACAAATCCATCCTCTTTGTACGTCTCCTTCAATGGTGCTAAAAGATCCTTTAAATCCAAGTGGAAATTCCTCGTGAATCAGCCCGTAAAAGTCATTTGAGTAAGGACTTGACTTCTCCCATTTGTCAATTGTCAGAGATTTTCCATTGACCCAAGTCCAGTTTCTTGTTGTTATATTCATCTCCAAACCAATAAACCATTCCCCATATTCACTGCCTTCTCGGTTTTGAATCGCGTTTTTGATAAATTTCCATTCCTGTTCTGTTTCCATCACTACAAGGTGTTTTTTGTGGTATTTACAGTTACCATTTGCTTGTGGCCACGCATAACCAATTGACTTGTTATTAAAGCTATAACACGAACAAAGCTTCTCTCCATCTACAAAGAAACAAAAAAACAAACAAAAAACAAAAACAAAGCAAATGGCAAAGATGTTGATCTAAGCTTTATCAATAATCAACAACAGGAGGGGGCGAGGGGAGTCTGTGAGAATGGATTATAGATTTAACTTTCTGAAGCCAAGGAATATAACCGAATGCGTGACTTGATAGGGGGTGATCACCATCATCATTCACCCTTTAATCAATAAGGTAATTACCCATTTATTTATCCACGTTTTTTTAATTATTTTTTTATCTCGTTAATCTTTTGTGTTCTTAAGGGAAACTTCCTGATTCGAAAAAGACCGTGTTTATTTATATTTAGAGGGAAAAGCAGAAAATCGCGGCGATAGTACAACTTCACTCTATACCCACGCCAGAAATCTCAAACCAGAAACCCACCGTGTAACTGACGTTACGTTATTTTGTCACGCCAGAAATATGACCAATCATCACTCAATTTGCTTAACACATATTAACCAAGCTGTTTTGAGAAGCGTTAGGCATACAACTTCATAACGACAACTAAATGAAAACTGGTCGAGTTTACTGGATGCATATGACACGTTGCATTTGATCAATTTTACCTGTGTTTCCTCTTCATTCCAATCGGCAATCCTTGTACAGCATGCACTGTGTTCAGGCAATTTGCGTGAAAAGTCTTTTTTTCTACGTAAAGTCTCGTAAAAATTCGCAATTAGGATAAATTAAATTTTTATGCGACATTTGATCGATGGCAAATTTGTCATGCCATGTTCGACAACGATCGTTGCACGACATTTTCAATCAATAAAGGAAGATGTCGCGATGTACAGAAGACATACAGCTCCATATTGACAACTTAATGAAAGCTGTTCACAGTTCAAAATTCGAGAAAGTCGAACTGAAATTAAACACGTTGAAACTGATAAATTAAACATGGATTTAATCCCACAGTGGAAGCCTCTACTTCCTTTTCAATCCGAGCGACCATCGTTGTGTTGTGTGAAGTGTATTTAGGTAAACTGCGGAGAATTCTCTTTTACAGACATCAAAATATAATTAACCAATCATTTTTAATTACGACAAGTCATTTTGATGGTAAATTTTGCAATTTGAGGCGTCGAGTGCGTAAGTTATGAGATTCGATCTGCAAATATCAGTCTCGTACAAACAAAACTCATGAAGTCTTTAAGGATTATCTTCAGTTTCTTTTCACTCACCAGTTCTCGACAGTAACAAACCAATTGCAAGCATGATCGATACATGTATCCTCGCTAAGTTCATCTTCCTAGGCCTACACGTTTTGGATGAGAAAGTTTGAAACGCCATGAGAGTGAAAGTTGTAATTGGATGACCAGCTAAAAGATATTTCCGGTCACTCGAGGTGTTACAAGGGAAGAATCAGCGGAAGTTCGGCAGGAGATCAGGCTTCATGGATAGATGAGTGATTACCATGACTCGCATGTGAATTAGATAAACAAGGTCAAAAACACTTATTTTATCTGTCATTTATTTATTTATTTAGATTTTTGTACACAGACTAAATAGTTCTCTTAATATCGGTCCTGTAATAACGTACTATACGGGAACGTACTAACGTACTATAAGGGAATCGAAGCCGTAGTCTTCTATTACGACATGACATTCAAACAAATCATCAGACTGAGAATTCTGCTGAAACAGAGACTATGAAATGTGTATAATATTAATACAGAGCTGTTGTATTTGATCAAGAATCAAATCAAGAACAAGAGAATGAAATAGAGAAATTTAAGATGAGGAAAACAACACAGTCTCTTGGCTTTTGTCCTAACCTTTAAATTATTCAAAGCGAAGGAAAGTGCTCTGGTTTATTTTAGATACAGCAGGGGTGTATTTCGTACAAACTCATTAGATAATTTTTTTTGGAAATGTCCTTTTAAAGCTTTTCTGGCGGGATTGAGGTCGTCAGGGTCAGGCATTGTCTTGGAAACTTTGCGACACAATTAACGGAAAAGCTTCAACTGAGGATTTTTTCCCCTTCAACTATCTTCCTGCGTGTGTGTGTCTCTCTCTCTCTCTCTCTCTCTCTCTCTCTCTCTCTCTCATTCATTTATATGGTCTGTGGCCTTTTGGATAGTTTGATATATTTTAACTGCAGTTAGTTGCGGATGCATTCGGATTCACTCAAACGTTAACATACTCAGGAGTAGGTATTTGATTCGCATATTCAATGTCGCTGTTGGGCGCTAAAAGTTATATCAATTGTCTAAAAACTTTTGAATTTTTTTAAATTCACTTAGTTTTCACTTGAACAAGCAAGGAGTGTAATATATTAAAAACACTGAATAAAGCGAGTGTCGGTACATTGTGTAAATTCATCAATTTTCTCATGCAACACACCCATACTGACGCGATATACACAAAAGAAACAGTTTTAAAGCTACAACTAGATGAACGCTAGAGAAGGACGTGGGGTCTTTGATATGATTTTTGAACCAACATTATTCAATGCAAATAAATTAAATCGTTACCATCTACTATTTCCTTCTCCAAAAAAAAAAAAAAAAAAAAAAGGCCACCCTTGTGCGTCGCTCGTGATAAATACTTGTTATAATCGGTCAAAACGCGTTCTAATCTAAAATTAATCACCACTATCTAGAAAACAGCTAAAATGAAACCAGACATTCGATCAAGAGCTCGCCCTTCAAAAACTTTAGAATTCTCAAAGATTCCTTTCACAATTTCTTCCTCTCTACATATGACATATGCGTTGAAATAGCACAACCATTGAAAGACAAGATAACAATTTATTCATCTTTATTTAAACCTTTGCAAGATAGATGGGGGGGGGGGGGGGGGAGAAGAGAAGGAGAATTGTGGCTTTGCAGAGACACATACCATCGATATTTTGTTTACCTCAGCTTTTTACGAATCTTAATTACGAACACTCCATTTAACAAGCATTTACATATTCAGCAGCAGTTATTTGGTTCACATATTCAGTGTCGCTGTCTTCTGTTGATTTCACAAGGGAAGTGTACGTTCGGGAACCATCGTTTTCAGAGGTCTGCAAAGTATTCAGTTTTATTTATTACAAAAAATAATGCTATAATAGACTTGGCAGGCTTGGTAACGCTGGAAAAAACGACTAAAATCGTCAAATCAAATGAAAAAATTGAACGAAACCATAAACGCTGCCAAGTGAAAATTGGACATTCGTTCAAATACGTTTCCAGTGGAGGTTTTGTTAGATACTGCGCTTAAATCTTATTGCCTATTTCCAAATGAGACCCCTTCACCCGCCATTCCATAAGGTCTTAATCAAACAAGTGATGTTTAAAATAGATGTAAGGGAAAGTAAGGACATAAACGGATGAATAAAATTTGATGAATAATAATGGTAAATGGATAAAACAATCAAACTTATTTGATATGAAAATTTTTTTGTCAAAATACCACACTCAAGGTGCCTCAGAGTAGCAATATATAAGCGTAGAGAAAGGGGCGATGCAGAGAGCAAACATCTAGAGGAACAGCTAAAAAGTTTTAAGAAAGGAAGTAAGACACATACTATATTCCCTGTTTTTTTATAGGGCTTATATTGAGTAATTTCAAGTTCGTTGTAAGTATAATTACCATCATTGACTCCGGAAACAGCTCGGTGTATGCGCCCTCCTGTTGGACAAGCGGTTCACTATGGAGACTCTCAATCCCGGTTCCATTTTGCGAAGCAAACTCTACCCGGGCATCAACATTCAAAACATTCAATGGCAAGCTCTCTGGAAAGTCACGCTGATTTCTGTATAATGGGAGCAAAAAAAATAAACAAACAAAAAGAAAAAGGTAAGAAGGTCCAGGTTCATTGTTAATGACCTTTGAAAATGCAATTAGACTGACTAACAACAGGAAGACAAACAAACTTTTGAAACTTTAAACAACATACAACTAGCAGCACCCCATATTTATTTGGCGAAGGTTCACGGATATGATATCTACTCAACTTGTTAGAAAACCTACAGAGTTCCAGAGCACATAGACAGCTTGGGTGTTCTGTGCTCAAGTGACAGTCGATTTCCTTCGTGAAATCGCGAAATCTACTATGGTATAAAATCGGTAGGAATGACGATTTCAGCATCGCATGGGCATGAAAAATCTGGTTTCAGCCTATCGAAAGCGCCAATTAAAAATTTTGTACTACTGGTTATATGAACATTTGAATAGGATTTCCTCGTTCTTCTCTTTGAAACCTGGTTTATTATTACTACTTTTTTTTTTTAATTTCTGAATTTATTATCATCGTTCCACAAATAGTTATGTGCTCTCTTTTTCGAGTCTTACTGCTTCCAAGTAAGTAAATATAGGAATAGGGCAAATAAGTCAGGCTCTTGCTCACTGGCTTTTAGGCAACTACGGCTGCATTAGCTTTCAAGCTTTTGTCACTTTTTTAAGCATCGAGCCATCTGTCTTTGCATTTCTGTGCAAGTCTTCTTCCCTCCCAAACGGGCCGAAAACTCTTAGTTGCACTTTGAAAACAAACCCATGGAATAGTTAAAATGGATGCCACAGAGAAAATGTATTTCTTCCAAATCATTAATTTTTATGTAGTGTTCAAGAGATACATTCGGCCTTAATTTACATGTGTACCAAACTGAATAAACGAGAAATAAAAGTGATGCAGAAGCAACTTACATTTTGACAGCTTTGTTTCTTGAGGCTAGTGGATGAAATCAGGTACAACCGTTAGCAGCAAAGAAAGAAAGAAAGAACTTTTGTTTTCTTCGAAAGGTTTCAATTTAGGTTGTTGGAAAAAAAATGACGCCAGACTTCCCGCAATTTGTCGGTTCATCCGGCAGTATTTTAGTGGAACACATACAAGTACTTGGTATTCGGTTGACAAATTAATAAACTCGATAGCCAAGAGGTAGTCGCGGAGCTTATTAGTGATACGACCAACTATTTCCTTTGAGAACGTCATTTAAGACTGTTATTTTAATCAGATTTGTCGTAGCGTAATTTTTATGATCTTTAAGTATGACTTTTCCAGAACCAGTCGGTCTTACAAGGCAGCATAGTATTAAAGTCCAGGACACTTTAGACTTAAGTAGTGTAATCAATTCCTTTGCCACAACTCGGTTTTTATTTAATTGTTTTATTATAAATTTTTATTATTTATTTATAATCATTGTTGTTCATTTTTCTTGCACCTTTACTCGCTACTTTTACTTACATTTAGCTTCCTTGCCAGTTAAATTCATATACATCTCTAGAACTGTGGTTGAATTAATATTAAATGATATGTAAATCAAACCTACCCCTAAATTGCCCTGACGATAGAGATGGCTACATGTCACGTTGAATTTGATGGACAATGCAAATAAAATCCAAGTACCTTTTTCTTGTTGTTTTTTTCGCAGCAGTATCAAAACCACGGCGAGGATGATCATCACTATAAACAAAAATGCTGCTAAAATAGCGATTGCCAGATAAAGAGAAAAGCAGTTGGGACCTTTCTTGAGGTCTTCGACCTTTGTTACTACTGGAAATGGAAATGTGGTCGTCGGGGAACCTTGGGTCGTCGACAAAGCTTAAAAAAATTAAAGTCGAGCTGATAATTAGGTTGACTCTACTAACACAGGATAACGCATGGAAAGTAATGGAAAGAGAGAGTGCTGCTTGAAAGTCTCGCATAGGGAATCCCCAAGGATTGTAGACCTTAGAAAATTGAAAACTCTTCTATATGAAAAAGAAACCCCGGCTGAACTTTCTCTGTTGATTTCGCCGTGGTGGGAGTGAGGTCAATTTTTGAGGTCGCTAGATTTAATGCGTTTAGTGTACTTAATTTTTAACTTGTTTTCTCGTAGCGACTTGAATACAAATCCTTAAAAAGTGCTTCTGGCTGTTTTAACTGAATATTTAACCAAGTGACCAACCTTCAACTAACAAACCAACAATATGGATATGACTCGTCTACATATCTTAAAATTAACAAGCGATACATGATCTTACCTGATAAATCATTGCTTTTATGTTCGGATGATGTTTTGCTTTGTATGGTAGCAGCTTTTGTCCCAATTGATGTTCTAGGATGACTTGTGCTCATTGGAACAGGATGGACAAAGCAAATCCCTTGACAGGTAGCTGTTAAAGAAACATAACTATTGTCCCCACCACTATACATATCTCGAGTGATATCCCGATAACAAGGAAATGTACAGTTTCTCAAGATCTAACTCAATGCCTCGAATGAGTGATAAAGTTTCAATGTCACGTACCTTTAACTTAGAAAGCTATAGGCGGCCTTCGGAAAGAGTACGTTGGGATAGGAAAGATAAAGAACGGGGAAGGGGGGGGGTTAGAGTAGTTTATAGAAAAAAAAACTGTGCATAACAACAGCATTTGATTCACAAATTATTTTCTTCTTTCTGGTACTGATCATTACCTGTTTCTTCCTCGCAAATCCATTCTCTTTCAAGGTAGCTCCTATAGGTACTAAGTGATCCTTTAAATCCTGCTGGATATTCCCTATGAATCAGTCCGTAAGTGTCATTTGGGTCAGGATTGATGCCCACCTTATGCCATTTATCAATAGTCAGAGATTTACCATTGATCCAAGTCCATTTCTGCGTTGTTGAATTTTTTTCTAAGCCTATAGACCATTCACCATATTGGCTGCCTGATTTATTTTGAATCTCATTTGTAATAAATTGCCATTCCTGTTCTGATTCCATTACTGCGAGTGTTTTATTGTTGGATTTACAGGATTCCCTTGCATTTGGCCATGACCATCGTCTTTTACTGAAGGTATAACACGAACATAGCCTCTCTCCATCTAGAATAGCCCAATTGCATAGAAGTTAGACTAATAATTAGTGCCAGTGAAGTGTGTGTCTATGTGTTTGTGAAAAAATGCACTGTTTGCTGGTTTAACTGTTACGTGCAGAAAATCATTTCTAGTTTTCTTGGATTGCCATCTTTATCATTTTTCCCCCCCTCTGAAGCGGACCTGATTCGCACAGAAGGAGGATCTGGGGAATAGCGACCATATTTCAATCTTCTTTAAATTTAACCCACATCCACAAGAAAGATGGGCGCTAAAAATTAGATTATCTTAGACTCTCAAATCGTTATAATTCATATGGTTTTCATTTTAACAAGCAAGCAGTGTTATATGCTAACAACAGTGTATGAAGTAAAAATCGGTACATTTTATAAATCCCTTAATTTTCTCATGCAACACACCTGGGTTGCGTTACACATTGCATGCCATGTGCAGTTTAGTATGACGTCATCGGTCACGCCGTCACGCCATATATTACAATCGTTTTCAACTTTATGAAGATCTGTGTACAGTCGCGATGAATACAAAACAAACAGTTTTAAAGCTACAACTGGATAAAAGCTAGAGGACAATGTTAGGTTATTTAACATAATTTTTAAACCAACATTACACAGTATACGTAAATTTGATCATTAACGATTTAAACAAGTAAACTGCCACTTCCTTCTCACTGCAAATTATTCCCTCTTCGTCCGTGGCTCGGCTTGCAAGTCATAAAAGAATTGTGGCAGTGAATCAAAGAGTATTCTATCCTGAGATTCTTCACTCAAGAATTCATTTTCTTTTAATTAAACTCGAAAGTATAGTGCTGGATCGGTCTGTCGTTCAGAATAAATCTAAAATGAAACGACGCTATCTCGAGAACTTGACATTCGATTACGCGCTTGCACTTTATAATTATCAAATGCTCCTCTCTCATTTACCTGGTTTCGACAGTAACAAATCAACTCCGAGAATTATCAGTACATACACCTTCACTAAATCCATCGTTCAAAGCTTTGGACGATGACGTTCATTACGCCACGAAAGAGAAAGTTGAGCTTGAGCGACCGATTAAGATTCTGACGCAATTTCCGATCACTCAAGGTGTGACTTAGGGAGAAACAGCGGAAGAATAACGATAGGTCACGCGTCAAGGAAAATTCAAAAATATATTAAAAACAAGCAAGTTGATTTCAATCAAGAACAGTTGATGTGAAAAATTTGGAATGATTGTGAATGTTAGATTGTGGATTTTAGAATGAGATAAACAAACACAAAGTAATAATGTCAGCTTCTCTTTTAGCTTTAGGTCATTAAACGAGAAGGAAAGTGTTCAGGTTACGAAGGGGTGTGTTGCGTTGGATATTTTTGGAATGTTCCTTACAGCTTTGCCGACGGGATTGACGTTGTCAGGGTCAGGCATTGTCTAAGAAACTGTACGCCACAATAAAAAAGGGGAAAAAACTTACCTCAAGATTATTTTTCCTCCATCCTTCTTCCTCTCTCTCTCTCTATTATTCAAGTATGAACTTATGTGCATATGGTCTGTGGCCTTTTAGATAGCATGATATAATAATCGTCTGGGTAACAATATTTGATCATTCTAACCAATATGTTTAATTTAGATTCCGTGATTAACATGGATTTTTAGTAAAATAGCTTAAATTTTTATGTCACATTTGATCGATGGAAAATTTGTCACTCCATGTTTTACAACGATCGTTGCACGACATCTACAGTCGCGATGTACATAAGACATACAGCTTCATGGCAACAACTAAGTGAAAGCTTTTCACAGTTCAAAATTGGGCGACGAAAGTCGAACTTAAAGCAAACACGTTGCAACGAACCAATAAAACATGGATCTATTTCCATAATGGAAGCCTCTACCTCCTTTTCAATCCAAGCGACCATCGTCGCGTACTGTGAAGTGTGTTTAGGTAAACTGCGGGAATGTACTAACGTACTATAAGGGAATTGAAGCCATATTCGTCTATTACGACACGACATTCAAACAAATCAACCAGAGAATTCTGCAGACACAGAGACTACGAAATGTGTATGAGATTTATGCGGAGCTGCTACATTTGATCAAGAAGGTAATCAAGAGAATGAAATAGAGAAATTTAAGATGAGGAAAACAACACAATCTTTTGGCTTTTCTCTTAAGCTTTGAATCATTAAAGGCGAAGAAAGTTTTCTGGTTTATTTCAGATACAGCAGGAGAGTATTTCGTACAAACTTGTTGGATATACTTTTGGGAATGTTCTTTTAAAGCTTTTCTGGCGGGATTGAGGTCCTCAGGGTTAGGCATTGTCTGGGAAACTTTGCGGCACAATTAACGAAAAAGCTTGACTGAAAATTTTTTTTCACCTTCATCTAACTTCCTGTCTCACTTATTCACGTATAAATGGTCAATGGCCTTTTGGATAACTTGATATATTTTAACTGCACTTAGTTTCGGATGGATTCGGATCCACTCAAGCATTAACATACTCAAGAGTACGTATTTGATTCAAATATTGAATGTCGCTGTCGGGCGCAAAGGGTTACATAAATTATCTATAAACTGCTTGGAATCATTTCAAGTCACTTGGTTTTCACTGGAACAAGCAAGAAGAGTGATATATCATAACCGTGAATAAAGTAAAAGTACATTGTATAAATTCATCAATTTTTCGTGCAACACACCCGAACTGAGGCGATATACAGAAGGGAAACAGCTTTAAAGCTACAACTAGATGAAAGCTTCTTTGATATCTTTGTTAAATCAACGTAATTCAATATACATAATTTTAATAACTATTGACAGTCTGCTTGTTCCTTCTCGAAAAAACTATGCCATCTTAGTCCGTCGCTCTTGTTATAATCAGTCAAAACGCGTTTTACCTCGAGGTTTATCTCGCAATTTCTCTTGATTCATCGCGAAAGTGAAGCGTTTAATCAGTTTCATGATCAAAATAGTCTAAAATCGAGTGCCACTATTTAGAAAACAATTAAATAATGAAATCAGACATTCGATTGAGAGCTTGCCCCTCATGATTTCTAGAATTATAAAAGATTCCTTTCACACTCACTTGCTCTCGACAGTAACAAATTGACTTCAAGAAGTATCAATGCCAACACCTTCGCTCTATCCATCGTTCAGTGCTTTGAATGAGGATATTTGGAAAGCCACGAAAGTGAAACAAAAGTACGTTTGGACGACCAGTTTAGACATAGACGCAATTTCCGCTCACTTAAGGTGGGACTTATGATGATACAGCGGAAGTATTAAGTGCCGTTCTCGCTAAGAGCGATCCTCTCGACTTCCCGTCCAAAAAAAAGTATTCCTTTATTTTTTGCCCTTGAAAAGAGTTTAGGACGCATGTTTCAAAAATAGTTTGGTTATTCTCTAATTCTCTTTTTTTTCGCGTCGCCGCAAGCCAAAATTGATTTTTGGCTAGAACTCCTGTGTGCACAACGATCAAAAGTTTGAATTTGACAGCTTTTGTCGAGGGTGCTGCGACTGCAATAGTAGAACTCACGGAATTATCTCTTACTACAAGTTGTAAAATATATTTAGCAGTTCCCAGACAAAATATGGAAACTTCGTTCGAAATCATATTCATACCAGCGTGATCAGAAGAGACCCATCCCTTCGACCTGAATTTACATATCAAAAATTCACCAATTTATCAAATCGGGCTAAAAAAACATATCGGTGGGTTGTTTATACACCAATGACAGAGGTCACTGATTCCCTCAAACCTACGGGTATCTCTCTAGTTTTTATGCACCTACGTCTTGAAAACAACTCAAATCCAGGAGTTTACTCAATTACGCACACGTCCGAGTCATTTGCATAATTATGAAATTGACCAAAAATCTCGAGTTGTTCTAAAATGTTGCATAAACGTGATTTGACGTAATGCATGCAGGGCAAACAAATTAAAGAAAACAAAAGCGATCGAAAGACGCCTCTTCGATAATGTTCTTTGAAACAGGTCATGAACCACGCATAGAGTGGAGAAGATCAAAATTAAAGAATACAACCTGGCACTCTGGTCATTACATATATACTGCATAGCTTAAAGGTACATAGAAACAACTAAAATACTTGCTGGTTTCGATGTTATTTGCAAAACAACACGTGTACACTCTGCAAGAACTCTTGCAGTTTCGACCAAGGTCTCGCACACGGAATGCAATCATCGGACGTTCCTTTCTGAAAATTTGCTGCCATCATTAAATATTTTATGCTGTTACAGTCCACAATTCTTGAGGGATGACTCAATTTTTTTCCTACGACCATCCAAAACAGTTAGGCAAACCTGGCTTGTTGCATTGCATGACGTGATCATCTAAATACTTCACTTGCTATATGACACGTTTCGCGGGTGTGTAAATTGAACCTAAAATATGGTTCATGTGACGAGTTAGAGTGGACCAAAGTAAAGGAATTGGGGATGGTATTTGACCTTACAATGACCTTTTCCACTCCTCCCACCCGCCTCACTTCAATATTTATTAGGGGGGCTAAGGTCACAGCATACCTCGATCCAACCCCTTCGCTTTAGCTAAAGTTGTGCCTTATGTGTTTCTTTAGAGAGGGGAATTACTTCAGTTATTTATCTATTTTGAGAGATTTATTCAAAAAAAGATTGACTTGACTCTTGGAAAGCAAAGATTATGGTGACTGTGGCCATTTCAGCGGAGTTTGAGCCCCGATATCTTTCCTGGAATGCCAGGACGACGTATCAAGTCATATAAAGTACTACCGCCTATCCAGCAAAAGAGTACGATTTGATTTTTGCTTTGTTCCGGTCATTTTGGCCTCGAAATGAAAAAGTAAAACATGCAGTTGCTGGTGTGCTCTAAACATCGGAACGCTTTGGAAAACATCGGAAATGCGGTAAAAGTATTTGCCAGCATCCAACGCACAAAGGAAACTGTGAAGCAGTGAAAGGAAACCGAATGTTCAACGTTAGACTGGCCAGAGATCCAGAGATGTTTTCAAAGTCTACGGAGTTATAGTTGCAGTCCGGATCACGCGAGTAATATTTTTTCAATTTCTAGACTGTTAAGGCTAGTGTCTTACTAATAATTGATTCGCAATGGCCTATCTGCCTCAGGAGAGTAATTTAGAATTGTCTCCACAAAATCATAGGACAAATTTTTGCCATGAAAAAATGTCTCTGTTTTTGCATCGGCTTAAAAATTTCAAAGCTGTCAAATTTTGTCAGCGCTTGAGCTGCTCATTCGACTGCCCTGCCTAACTTTGAATTTTTAGGAAAGCCAAAGAGGAAGCAAAATCGGCGATGTGTTTTTTCACCAGCTGTAGGCGTCGAAATACATAACCGGGACTCCACTTGGACTCCTGGGCAGAGGATGAAATGGCTGAGGTTTTGTCAAACTATGACTCATCAGATGACAAAAGAAGGCGATATGCACGTGTGATGAGGCTATGACGAGGATTGCTTCACTCACAGAACAAAAAGGTAAACATGTTTCTGTTAGGCTATCAAAGGAATGGGAAGAGGCAGCGGCAAATGAAAAATCCCTATGTTTGGATCACGTGGAAGAGGCATGTCGCACTGTTTGCATTATAATCGCTCCAAGAGACAACGAATAGTTATTGCAAACCTTTAAGACCCCGGCAGTTAATGAAGTTTGCTCGGGTCAGGGTAACTTGACCTCACTGACAATCGCATAAAAACAGGCACCTTAGAAGCACTTGAAAACTTAGATCTTGAACATATCTGCATCTCGCTATTCAGCGAGATTCTAAAGAAATGCACGATCCTTTTGAAAAAATGAGTGATCGACAAGTTAAGGCAAGGGCTCATGCCAAAAACGTCGGAGCTGGCTTTAACGTCAATAAAATGCTACACCACAGAGTCCGGATAGACTTGGTAAACTTGATCATTTTTTGTCTTTTGTCGATCAATCATACTTTTACCAAGATGTGGTCTATGGAACTAGGACTATAAAACTTGACTCTGGAGATCATCTTGTTATGCCAGATGTCATCAGAATTGTTGGACGATCAACGATGATCATTGAACAGTATCACAAACACTGTTCGAGGAAGATATCGAACCCCTTTGAAAATCAACGCTTTACAGAATTACGTTGGTACACGGACTAGAATCAAGGTGATTAGGTAAGTTGAAATGCTTGTTAGATTACAACGCGAACATATTCTTTAAAGTTGCATGCACCTTTCAAATTCGTGCGAACTCTTGCCTCGATCGACTTCAGAACTAAACTTCCATGCTGCTTCTGTTCATTATAACAAGTAATATTTCAGAGCCGACACAAACAAAGTAGATCAAAATCTCTTGACAATATACTGCAGGGATGTAATTATCCTCTCGACGCTTGAAACATCGCACACCGTCGACCGTCTGCTTAAAGGCAGATTAAAACGCATCCAGTTTTATTAAACCCCAATAGTTTACATGTAATTGCTATATGCATAGTAAACGTAGTGAATGAATGCTTACCTTTCTCAAAGGACATCCTGGGATAATTCAAGTAGTTTTATT